CAAAGTATATGTGAACTGCTGTATGAAAAGTGAATTTACTCTGTAAATCTTCACCCAAATCCTAATAAAAATAAATAAATAAATAAATAAAGAATGTGACTTTCCAGCTGTGACATTAAGGAGGAAGAGGAGCCAGTCATGATACTGTTTAGGGGAAGAACAAGTTGCAAGTCAAGGAAGCAGCATGGAGAAAGGCCCTGAGACAAGAAAGAGTTCCAAGTCCATTTTTGTCTCTAATAACATATACTAGACTGCCACTAAATTGGCTTTAAGAAAGAAGCTGAAGTTAAAACAAAGAGACTCAACCTCTCTAGCCTCATCAGTAGTTTCAGTAATCTGTTTTGGTCCCAGATAAAAATCTGGCTACAGGGAAGTCCTACACCAAGTCCCTGAATGTCAAGATCTTTCTCTCTGATCTCACAGGCCATAGTCCAGAATAACCAGATTCCTCCACCTAAATCTGTCATTGTACTGAGAGTCTTTAAGGAAGAGAGCCTATCCTTATTCCTTCACCACCTAACACATTACCCTATGGGCCCATATGACTTGCACTGGGGATAGACTACAAGAGGGAACGTAAAAGGGCTCTGTCCATAGTCCTGTCCCCATAGCCTCATCCCAAAGACTATACATCTGACTTCTGATTCTCAGCTTGAACTTGACCAACAACTGATAATACCTCTACAGAACTATAGGAAGAGAAGCTACACCGCAGGGAAATGGCCCCAGGAAATAAAGAAACGTCAGGAGACACTATTGAACTACGTTTTATCCTGGTCCTTAGTTCTTGTCTCTAGACAGAGTATACTTCCAGGTTCTGATACTGAGTAAACTACCCAACCCTTGGCAATCTGCAGTGAATGCAACTACTGATCACCACCTAGAAAGGGACAGAAAATGACATTAGTTGACCACCTGTAATGCGTCTTGTATTGTTCCATTAAATTCTGATCACCATTAAAGTAGAAAATGATTGTCTCCATTGCAGATATAGAAGGTGAGACTTGGAGAAGCAGCAGCTACCATTTATCAAGTGTTTACTTTGCACCAGGCACTGCTGTATGTGTTTCACTTCACTAAGTCATTTAATCCAACCCAATTTTTAATCACAGTTTTCTAGATAAAGGAACTGAAGATTCAAATGTTAAATGACTTGTCCAATGGCTATGGCCAGGAAGTAATTGTTAGGGCCTAGAATCAAATTCATGTCTGCCTGACTCCAAAGTCGCCAGTCTTTCTATACTCTAGGCTACCTCTTGGCTCTGGACTTCTTTGACTCATTCCCAGTGTTGTTGTTGTTGTTGTTATGTGCCGTCGAGTCGGATCCAACTCATAGCGACCCCTCCTGGGGCTTCTGAGGCAGTATCACTACAGAAGTAGATTGCCCCATCTTCCTTCCGAGGAGTGGCTGGTGGGTTTGAACCGCCAGCCTTCTGGTTAGCAGTCA